TAAGATCTGTGCAGCCCGTTTCTTCACCATGTGAGCTCTATTTGGTTTGCATTTGCAAGTGGAATCCATATCCGCATGGTATGTCTATTTGCGTGTTATCTCATGGGTGTGCCTGCGCTGGTTGTATAGACAGCCCGTTGGGCTCGTCTTTCAAATTCCTAGGAACTTGCCCTGCCCCCCTGCCCCCCTGCCCCAGTTGCAGGAGAGATGGATCCATACGGAGGGAAGAGGGCGCCAGGCTCATGCAAGGTTTGTCCGCCCACTTGCGCTTCCACTAGGGCTGGGGGGTTGTCCCAGCCTTGGTGCTTGTCACTGCTGTCTGGTCCAAGCCCTCGATACTGGTAGGGTGATGGTACTGAGTGCTGGTCACACTGTAGGATAGCAGGGACAGAGGGTGCGCAGGGAGTATTAACGTGGGGATGGGTAGGGTAGGTCTCAGGACAACGATTGGCTGCCGCTGCCGGCAATCACCGCGGGTCTGGTCCTTGCCCTCTACAACACCCTGGGCTTTAAGAGAAAAGGAAAAAAAAAGGGAAGGAAGAGGGCGGGCTACGGGGAGTAGCATAGGGCAGAGCACAGGTACATCCTCCCTAGCATGAGGGAGTGATGAATGCCGCTGGCTCAGGGTCCCTCAGCCGGAATGGAGGTTAAGTGTCGAGTGGATCAATGATGTACGGGCGCGGGACCTGTTTTCCAGCATGTATAGTGAAACGTCCACCCTTCTCAAAAAAAGAAAAGAAAAGAAAAAACAGTCCGTTTCCCACTAGGAAGATATCCCGGGCGCCTGGGTCCCGACGTCACGCCCGGTTTGGCGACCGGGTGACCGGCCGGGCATGATCCCAGGGCATGGGCCCGGGCAGCCCCAGCACAAAAAAATAAAAAATAAAAATAAAAAATAAAATAAAATAATCCAAAAAAATCTGAAAAAAAAATTGTGCAGAATTGCAATACAAACAACTTTTGGCTGAGGGTCACATCAGAAATCCTCACGGAACTGGAGATAAAAAAAAAACAAATAACCAAATCATACTAAGGCACCCCCCTTAAACCACCAGTACCTAGCGGTTGTCAAGGCCCGTGGCTCAGCCTACCGGTATCCCGAACCTTGCCGAGCCTCGAGCTACCGGTAGGTACACATCGGAAGAAGAAAAAAGACAAAAAAAAAAATCCGACGTTCTTCTGGCCAAAAAAAAAAAAATTGAAAAACAAAGATGCCCGTTTTGCACTTTCCATCTTTGGGTCGCGTGGAGAGAGAGAGAGAGAGAGAGAGAGAGAGAGAGAGAGAGGGCCGACGATTTTGATGCGGCACTCCCCGCAAGGCGCCGTCTCTCTCTCTCTCTCTCTCTCTCTCTCTCTCTCTCTCTCTCTCTCTCTCTCTCTCTCTCTGTGTAGCATATCAGAAAGTGAAATGCACTGAGAGCCTAGGATCTAGCAATGACGAAAGTGGCAACAACCAGCAGCATAGGTGCAACATCCACGAGATGTCAATGTGCACGGTGCAAAGGGYGAACCAACGAGAAATCAACAACACACATTCGTATCATTATCATCATGGGCTGGGAAGCAGCGCAGCGGAAGATTTAGTATCAAAGGACACGTGGACAACAACATGAAAAGGAGAAAACTTCGGAAGGGCAAGACATCAGAAAGATTGCCCTTCCGCTCACACACATGGGGAGAGATCCATAGACATGCGAGAGAGGAGGGGGAGGGACGGAGGTAACCAAGTCCAACCCAAGTCTGATCTCCGAATGTCGCACACAGTTCAATCCCAATGTAGAGTGCAAGTCCGACCTAAATGTCGTGTCCAATAGGGCAGAATGCCGTGTCCAAACAATGTCTGCAGTTACCTCTATCTCTACTCTGAGAAGAAGAAGAAGAAGAAGAAGGAGGAGGAGAAGAAGAAGAAGAAGAAGAACTTCGGAGGAGTAGGAGGAGAAGAGGAGAGGAGAAGAAGAAGAAGAAGAAG